TGCACTTTTGCTGTTCTCTAGATATTATTATTTTGTTTATTTTGTGTATGCAAAGCTGAATAAAGGCACATTGTTATTATTATTATTATTATTATTATTTTTATTATTATTATTTTTTGGTACAAATCTTGAAGTGGGCCAACTGAAGTGGGAAGGGGCTCGTATTACCAGATTGATTGATCAATTTGACGAGGTTGGTTTATGTAATTTCTTTTTATTTTTGTTTTGATTTTAAAAAGCATACATCAATTTTCGTTTAGTCTAGTTAGTGCTATTTTCAGCAGGTGAAGTTAGAGTAACCATGGGCGAGACTCTGCCTGCCTTTTCGATCAGTTTGTATTTTTAACACGCTTTTTTTTAAGCTTGGTCTGTAAGCATTATTTCCACAAAGTTCCAGAAATTTGATTAGTTTGAAACTTCGCACACGTATCAAGGATTGATAAATTCTTTTATAGATCCTCTGTAGGGAAGTAACGGAGATAGAGTTAGCGCGAACTGCGCATACGTTCAATTTCGGGCATCTGGCACAGCACAACATAAGCAGATGATTTTTCAAGGCAGTGCATTCTCACCTTGTTCATTGCTATCGTTGCCGTTAATCCTGAGCCGGGAGAGATGTTGCGTCCGCAAGCAATGATAACCTCCAGGCTTCTCGTCAGTGAGGGGCTCACTTCCACACTTTCGAGGTGAAAGAATCAGCCGCACTGCCGCTTGGTATAAATTAGTTCTGTCGAAAACGCTACGAGACACCGTAAATGGAAACCGCAAGAGCGTCAAATCCTGGGGTATGTGCGATTCGTCAATTTAACGGGTGACAGGAGCAACACTGCTGTGTTCGCTGGGATAATGAGGGCGTGGACACCTACGTTCCAGAAATTTTTGTCGTCGAGGTATGTGGCGAATGTGGAGGCCTACATCCACCTGCCGTTATAAATATCCTACCACGGGTTTTCGCGTATATCGATTTGCGCCTCTCTTGTTTCAGCTAGAAACGTATTATTATGTAGATGATGCGGTTTATATGCAATACTAGCTTTTTGTCCCGCAATTAGCGCATCATCAGGGAACAACCTTGTTGTAGTTCCTAGATACCTAAAATAATATTGGATCAACTGTGCTATAGATATTTGTTCAATACTTGAACATCGTTTTGTTAAGCACCTTATTGTAACTACCAACAATCATGAATCATCGAGAGGAAGCCTCACTCAGCCTGACGTCTAAACGCTAAATCGGAATAGCTCAGGAGTTTTGGACTTTCTGCTTGAAAATTGCAGCTCGCGTTTCTTGCTCAATTTATATGTTTATTAATTTTTACTATGAAAATGTAGAAAACAAATTCATAATTCCACGTAATTTCTTGTCAAGTCGTTGTAAATAAATTTCTCCTGAGTAACTCTTCGTCCCTACCCTCACCTTTTTACCTTCTATTAAAACGTAAAACGAGATATTATGTTTTTTGGATAATTCATGAAAAAACATGTCGTTCAATCCCCCCACTTTGATGTTCTAGAGGCTCCTGATCATATTCCGAAAAAAATGTGTGAGTTAAAAATTGGGGTTGGGGATTGTAAGGTGTGAGAAGGGGCTATATCTCAATTTTTGATGTTAGTATATTTATAGGCTCCCAAATTCGAAAATTCTACTCTCCTATTAGACATCATATGTGTGTGTGTACCTATGTCCTTAAAAATGATAGAGAAATGGTTTCGATACGCGTTGCTACTTCCGCTCTCTGGGTTCACCAGAGGGTATGCAACTGTCTTCATATTTTGGCCGCTGTGCCATGTTGCCAATTTTCTCGGACAATAGAACGGTTTTTATTTTTTTACTCAAAAATGGCGTATCGAAGGAAAACAATTCAAGAGAGATCGTTTGTTTTGAATTGAACGGGGATTCAAAAATAATTTTTATTTGGCAAAAAACCATTGACGTACCTTAAAAAATGTCGAAGTCAATACCGGTACGTGCGCCACTGTTAAAGCTAAAAACCATTTTTGCATTGAAAAATATGAAACTTTATTAACTTTTACTACGTACCAAATATCAGCGAAATATCTGAAGCGGTTCTGAAAATATTAATTAATTTCCAGTTTTTCCTAAAACTTCAACACTCCTAATTTTTGTAAGGAAACTTTTTTGGATCATAATCTATAAAGCAAACTAACATTAATTTTTCTTGTAGATTTACACCCTTAAGTATTCGCATATCATTAAGGAACACCCTGTATATTTTCGTAACTGATGTCGGCGATATATGCAGAGTCGACCTATTTGAATCCATGATTAATGGACGATCCCACAGAAAATCCGCTCAGCGTTATCCAGAATGAAACAATCAAAGTACTCCAAAGTAAAACTGCAACAAGAACCGTTCAGTTTCAATGCATGCTCTAAGTACAAAGTATAAAGCTGCAATTAAGCACATTCTGCTCCTTCGGTCGGTAGCTATCAGAAATGCTGTAATAATCAGGGACGATCGATCCGATCTCAATGGCGGAGCTGCGGAATTACAGAAGTAATAGAAATTCTATGATTGCTATCAGCTCCAGTCGGTCCGGGACTTTCGATTGGTAGGAAATACCTGAGTTATTAAATGAACATGGGCAAGAACCTCTGTACTAATTGTGGAAGACTTTGGGATTGTATGACGAATTTGAGAGCTTTCATAGCATCGAATAGGTCTTTACTCCTCATTCAGTTACGTGCTTAAGACTAATGATTGTTTCTACCTGCTTGTCGGTTCTTTAGATGTTTGTAGCAAATGGTAGATATGGCAAGTATCCAAAAATGCTGCGGTATTCAGAGGTATGGCCGCAACTACCTTTCAGTACCTAGCAATAAATATTGAACATATTAAACTTAATCATGCATATACGAGCCCCTTCCCACTTCAGTTGGCCCACTTCAAGATTTGTACCAAAATATGCCTTTATAAACTAAACCTGAAACTATTTACTTCTAAAACAATTTATTTCCTCAAAAACATTTTAGATACACTCTAGTCGTAAAAAATACATATCTGAAATCACTTAGACCTATAACTAATAGAACATCTGAACAAATAAACAATGTGCGAATAAATGTGCGAAGTTAACAAAGCAACAATTGAAAGATTACCATTGGGTAACATCACTTTATTTTTTATTACCGCTGAAAGTCTCTAGGACATAGCGTCTACAGTCTCATATCTCTTGAAGCTTTTGCCTCAGTTCGGTGATTGTACGAGCAGGATGTTGTCGTAGAACCTTTTTCATCTCGTGCCACAAAGTTTCAATAGGTGACAGATCTGGACTGCTAGAAACCCATTTCAAAAGTGGTACATTATTTTCTTCCGTCCATTTTATAGCCTTTTTTGAGGTATGGCACGCTGCACCATCTTGCTGAAACACAAAATCTTGGCCGGATGTCAAACATTCTTCCATCAGTGGTAAAAGCGATTCTTCCAAAATTGCCAAATATTTGTTTGTATTCACATTTCCATCAATAAAATGAAGTTTTCCTACTCCTTTTGATGACATACTGCTCCAGACCATAATGGATTATGGAAATTTCATTTTTCTCTTCAGACAGTCAACATGGAATGCTTCATTTTTTTGCGAATAACTCTACTGCGACTGTCACTAACACAAACTTCGAATCGGGCCTCATCACTCCATTGTATTGCACACCATTGTTGAGGTGTCCATTGTGTATGTTCTTCAGCCCATCTAAGCCGATTTTTCTTTTGCAGTGGAGTTAATAGTGGCTTTTCTTTGGCCTATAAACAAGTTGTGCAACTTTAGGGTTTTTACTTCACTTTTTATTTTATAAGAAAACTTACCTTGCATGTGCTAAATCCCAGTTTGTGGGCATCTCTATGAGTTGTGGACCTGGAAATTCTCCTTCCAACAGCGTCACTCCACAGAGCACTTAATTGTAAATAATTGGCACGCCTGTTTTTCACGATTATTCTTCTTAATGCTCTTCGGTCGGCACTTGTGATATTACTTTTTTTCACATATCGTGGATTAATATTAACTGCACCAGTTATGTTATATCTTCTAACAATATTTCTCACACTGTGCCGCGGTAAGTCTAACAAAGTTGCAATTTCTGAGTTTCATTTCCCAGAATTAAAAAATTTAATTATCAGTAACCGAATTTTCTCACTAATAACCTTTCCAGTACCCATTTTGAAAACCTTAACTACCCAAAACTATTTTAAACGTACTATGACAGCTGTGATAATAAAAACAATTGTCAGGGCTTTTATTTTTCACAGCCACCTATGTGTTAGAGACTTATTTTGCATTGAAATGAAAATCGGTTGATATGCTGTAATTGCAACATGTGTTATTTTTATGCTGCAAATTTGATTAGGGAGTGATAAAGTTGGTGTTTTCTACTATATGTTATCAAAATATTCATTGTTAATATTTTAAACCTATAACACCCTGCTACATTTTTGTTATTTGTGTTTGATAAGAAAAAAACTAAGATTTCAATAGTTGGGCCAACTGAAGTGGGAAGGGGCTCGTATTGAGGTTTTTTACAATGGGAGTAAAATCCCAAGATTTATGACAGTATTACCGACCCCTACGTCAGTAACAAAAAACTACAGTTTCCCAGAATCTCTGCATGACAGTCTGCTTCGAAGAAAAGGACAGTTGTCTTGCCTTGTCACTCATGGGACCACCAAGTGTCCATCATGCTACTAGTATTCACGTACTATACAAAAGTTGCATAAACTGAACTCAGGATATTTAGTGTGTGTGAAAGTAATGACAATTTTATTATAGATGTGTTTGCAAATGGGGGCATATCTTCGACGAACAAAATAAGAAGTGCGTCCCCAGCGCAGCACTCGAAGTCGCCATGTTAGAGAGCCAGCACAGGGAGAAACGGGAAGAAGAGAAAGTGGCACTGTGGAGGCAGATAGCTAGATTCATTTTCAGACCACCGAATTCTGCAGCTGCCTTGCGTCCTAAGAATTATTGGTTATTATTTATTCTCTCCAGTTTTCTTGTATTTTCAGTTAATGCCTTTTAGGTCAAGTACCTGTTGATATTAAAGAATCAATATACTGCATCTGTAGATCCTGTTTTATAATCTGTATTTTATTTCTGTAGACACACAGCGAAAGCGGAAGACGAATAGGATTTGTTTGGTTTTCGCCTGTGAGACCATGACCAAACGTACGTAGCGTTGTTTTATTCTTGTTAGCGATCATAATACAGCATGGGTCTTGCCTTAAACACAGGCAACGCAAAGCGAGTAAGCAGATATGATCTACTAAACAATCCAGTACCCCCTCTCGATCAACGGACATGTGTTGTCCACCATCATGGGTAGCTCGTCAGTCAGCCAAGAAATTTAATAATATTCAAGGCGCATAGAAACATTTAATAAGCGGTAATTTGCTACTTTCCCTAGCTAGTCAGTGCTGACCTTGAATTTGACCTTGACTATTTTTTTGAAGGTTAAATGAAGGTCATGGGAAGTTTTTAAAAGCGACCTTTACCTTTGATACCGGAAAAGGAAAATTCTACGTGTAAGTACGCATTTAGGTTCTGACTCTTAACGTCCTGGTCAAAGGAAAACCGTCGATTTGAAAGATTTCAGGGACTATGAACCTGAAGCACAAAAAGGGACCTAAATCAAACCAATGTCAAGACAATTTTTTTAAGTAATTCATACTTTTCTAGAGATAAATCAAAAATTGGGACGGAAAGGCAGCAGGGAGTTTAATTACGCTGCTACAATCTGATGACCTTAAAACTGACCTTGAGCATGACCTTGACGGTTAAATCAAGGTCTACGCAATTTTTTGTATGATATCCTACACGTTTGATCCCAGGAACGGAAAGGATAGATTTTTTTTTACTTTTAGACGTGACTTTGGACAAGGACGTTCAAGGTCAAAATAGTTTTCACCTAAGGTCATAAAATGTCGAGTTTCCACTAGTTATTCTCAAATGTCTTGCCATTTTGAGACATTTGAATCAGCATGCATGCAAAAATTGAATCAACTACATGCATGCAAGGACTTTCCAACTGTTTTCTAAACACTGCCTCTTTCTCCAACCTTTTCCTTTCGCATGTTACCGACATCTTCGCCTGTAATGGTCAGGATGTTTGGGTGCATCGGAGACACGTGCTTTCTTTAGGTATATTACGTGATGTGGCTGGAGAGATGGAAGAGTGAGAAACCCTGGCAGATCTGTGGTACATTAATAATAATAATCGACACCGCAGTGCCATTCATAGCAAACATAGCTAAAACCGAATTCACGAAGGCTGAAAGGTATCAAAACCTTGCAATTGACATCAAAAATATTTGGAAACCATCAGAGGTCTGCCTAATACCAGAAGTAGTGCCTGTGGAAGCGGCAGTCACTGTAAATCTCTACTCACACTTGGAGAAAATCATAGATAAATATTACATGTCACATATTCCCTAAGTTCTTTGACTGAGGTGAATTCGCCCTCCATTGTGTTCGTTCCCCGTGTGTAATGGTGTAATACCAACCCAAAATGAATAATAATAAAAATAATAATAGTAATACCAGAGAGAATATCATCCTAGATGATGCTATAACCTTGAGATCTTTAGAACACCATGAGGTATATAAATATTTAGGTGTCGATGAACGTGGCAAAATTCAGCACAAGGCCATGAAAGCGCAGTTAGCGACCGAATATTACAGAAGATTTAGGAAGATATTGAAGACGGAATTAACAGCAAAACTTCGACTCTCACCTTCCTAGCGGTATCCGTCAGAAAGTGTGAAAATACATCTGATAGTAATATCAACAGCAGCAGTAGTACCAAAATGAGTGAGTGAACACCTGAAAGAGTTCAATCTAATGGGTGATTTTTTTGCTAGTATCTTTTTGGCAACAGTATTTTTGACAGATGACGCGTGAATCGTGTCTTGTGTCATTGTCAAACTTGTTCAGTTTGGTCTACAATTTAACCACTTACGAACGAACAACGCTTGCAAATTATTGAATTTTACTATCAAAATTCATGCTCGGTTAAGAGAGTGCATCGAGCACTGCTTCCAATTTATGGGCAATTTGGTCGGCCTACTGAGGGAGCTATTCGGAAGCTTGTGACTAAATTTCGAACCCAGTTTACATTATTGGACATTAAACCACCAACACGCAGACGTAGAGTGAGGACTGAAGAAAATATTGCGGCTGTATCCGCCTGTGTTAGTGATGACCGTGAAATGTCGATTCGTCGCCGTTCGCAGCAATTGAGCCTCTGTTACTCCGCTACGTGGAAAATTTCGCGACAGGATTTGGGTGTAAAACCTTATAAGATACAGGGCGCTGGCAAAGTTGGAGGAACATCCACATTTTTATCGAAAAATTGTGTTCAGCGACGAAGCCCATTTCTGGTTGAATGGGTACGTTAACAAGCAAAATTGCCGCATCTGGACTGAAGACCAGCCAGAAGCATTGCAAGAGCTACCAATGCATCCCGAAAAAATCACTGTTTGGTGTGGATTATGGGCCGGTGGCATCATCGGGCCGTACTCCTTCAAAGACGACAATGGCCGGAACGTAACTGTGAATGGTGAGCGCTACCGTGCGATGATAACAAACTTTTTTTTGCCCAAAATCGAAGACCTGGACTTGGCTGACATGTGGTTTCAACAAGACGGTGCCACATGCCACACCGCAACAATGTCCCTATTGAGAGGCGAGTTCGGTGAACAGTTTATCTCACGTTTGGGGCCCGTCAATTGGCAGCCTAGATCGTGTGATTTAACGCCGTTGGACTATTTCTTGTAGGGCCATGTTAAGGCTAATGTCTACAGGGATAAACCAGCAACGATTGACGCACTGGAAGCGAATATTGAAGCATTTATTCGTGAGATACCGGCCGATATGTTGGAGAGAGTGTGCCAAAATTGGACCTTGCGCATGGGCCATTTAAAGCGGAGCCGCGGCCAACATTTACATGAAATAATCTTATACATTAAATTATATCGACCGTTCTATCGACTCAAATACAGATTTAATCGGTTTTTCAAATATTTTGTGTTTTTTTGAAAATCAAATCCTATACCTCTTAAAAAATCACCCGTTACCAACTGAGCTAGTATCAGCAATGCAACACTCAGTAATACCATCAGTATGCAACCTTTTACAAAAAAACCTGTTTTAAACAGAATGGCCATTTGAATCGTCAAAGCAGCCTCGCTTAAACACTGAAAATATCGTATGTCAAGTCTACCTCTATTTATAGTCAGTATTTACAGTATATTCAGATAAGAGATAGACCGGATGTAAACAAAAGGTTCGGGTGATTTTCACGCTAACGCCGCCGTCTCGACGTAAAACAGGAGCCCTCATTGGTCAATTCGCAATTAAATGCCTATGCCGAGCGGCAGAGCAGTCGTATCAAGGCAGAGTCACATTCAGGTTCAGACGTGTTACGTATGTCGTGTGCATCATTGCAATTTGATATTTCTTTGGACGTTTTCGTTTGTTATCTTATTAAGTTGTTGAGTTTGTCGTTGTTATTGTTATACCTTGTTATTGATTGTTATTGTTATCAACTGCTTGCGCAAAATGCCCAGTAGTACAGATACTGCCGATGAAGTTGTAAACTCCTGTAGTCCACCTAGGAAACGTTCTAAAAAAAGACACCTGAGTGCAGAAATGAAAGAGGTCATTTTGAATATATACGTATATAAGATCGAGCGCGAGGAGAACGAGGCATCAACCATCAAAGAAATTGTTGTGAAGGTTTCTCACAAAGTTGGGTTGTGTCGCGCATCAGTGTTTAATGTGTTAAGACAATACAAAAAAAATCACACCTTTTCTGAGCCAATGACCAGTAAACATCGCAAAAGTATTGTTAAATCATTGGATGAAGCTGATAAGCATGCGATTAGGAGGAAAGTGCATGAATTCTTCTTTAGGAATGAAATACCTACTATAGATAAAGTACTGCAGGAGGTAAATGGAGATACAACGTTGCCAAATTTCAAACGATCAACTTTCCATGCGTTACTGAAGCATTTAAATTTCAAATGGAAAAAACGGGGTCGTAATAGTTTACTACTGGATAGAGAAGAAATTGTGCTATGGAGGAGGGATTATTTAACAAAAATTGGGAAATATAGAAATCAAAACAGGAAGATTTATTACCTTGATGAAACGTGGGTAAACGCAGGACACACTACAAGTAAAGTATGGGTTGATGATTCTGTAACTTCATCCAGGAGGGCCTTTCTAGATGGACTGTCCACCGGATTAAAAAATCCAGCAGGTAAATAGGAGTAATAGACAACAGTCGGATGTTTTTCAAACCTTGGGAACAAGGTTCTAAACATTAATTCCAGGGGGCAGTTAAACCATATTACAAGTAACAAAACTTTTATAACTTTCGATAAAATGCGTGGATGTTTTATTGTCATTTTCATTTGTTAGAACTTTTTTAAGCCATGTTTTTATGTGTTTTCGATATTTCAATAATTTTTTAATATAATCTTAAAATATGTCGAATATTATAAACTTAAAAAAGTTAATAAGTTTTATATTGTGTACCGTTCCTAATATTTCTAATCATTTTAATTCATACTTTAAGCTTTATAAAGTTATAATTTGTTAATATTAATATTTGCGCGTATTTCAGGTTCCTGATCATTCATTTTTTAAAGGTTTATAACTTTAAATTAAATTGTGAAGCGCTGAGTAATCATACGACGTTCAATATTCTTTCTTTCAATATGACTAAATAATCCCAATTATAGCAATCTGATACTCATGTCTCAATGTTTTTTCGCTGAATGTGATGAAAACATTTGAAAAAGGTTCGCTTATTGAAATAAATCTACACCAGTTAGTACTTCGATTTACAGGTAAAGGGAAAAGGCTCATTATCTGCCATATTGGCAGTGAGGATGGATTTGTTGTTGACGGTCTGTGGTGCTTTGAGTCTAAAAAAACTGCAGATTACCACGAGGAAATGAATGGCGAATCGTTTGAACAGTGGTTTTCAAAAATTTTACCGAACTTAAAGGAAAACG